TTCAGACCTGGTCGTGGCTGCGTCGACCACATGTTTACTATTCGTCAGGTCCTAGAACACAGACTTGCTCATCGGCGTCCGACGATGGTGGTCCTTCTTGACTTAAAAGCAGCATTTGACTCCGTAGACCGCGAGATTCTGTGGCAGTGTCTGTCATTGAAAGGCGTACCTCAGAAGTACATAAACCTTGTAAAGGCTCTTTACTCGAACACTACTAGTCGAGTCAGTGCTTATGGCGAACTGTCATCTACTTTTGCAACATCAAGTGGTGTTCGTGAAGGCAGTCCACTTTCCCCATTTTTGTTTAACTTCATCATAGATCTACTGATGGAAATAACATTCTCGTCGACTGGATTCTCGGGTATTGACCTCCATCCAGGAGGTCCACTTATCGACTTAGAATACGTAGGTGTCATAGTCCTGTTTGGTGAAGACGCTGACAAAATTCAGAGTCTTTTGGTAGCACTGAGCAACAATGCCAGAATGTTTGGAATGCGCTTCTCTCCCTCTAAATGCAAGTTCTTGCATCAGGACTGGTCTGCGTCAACACCTGAACTAAGGATAGGGAGTGAAGTGGTCGAACGCGTCGACAACTTCACTTATCTTGGAAGTATGATCAGCCCTAATGGGCTGGTGTCTGACGAAATCTCAGCACGGATTCGAAAAGCTCGTTTGGCTATTGCCAACTTACGTCACCTGTGGCGAAGGCGAGATATTCGTCTATCAATAAAAGGACGAGTATACTGCGCGGCAGTCCGTTCTGTTTTAATTTACGGCTGCGAAACATGGCAATTAAGAGTAGAAGACACTCATGAGCTACTAGTATTTGACAACGGATGCCTCAGAAATATTGCTGGCGTCTGTTGGGATCACCAGATAAGTAATAGTGAGGTTAGACGCAGGGTATTAGGAAATGATGGTAAATCAGTTGATGTGGTTGTGAATCTTCGTCGGCTGAGATGATTGGGCCACGTGTTACGCCGATTAACACAACGTGCAATGCTAATCGGCGTTCGGGATGGTTGGAAGAAAGTTAGGGGCGGCCAAACCAAAACGTGGCATCAGTGCTTGAAGTCACTAACTTCTATTATTAGCCATGTTGGTAGATGCAGACTACTTGGTTGGGGTCCGCGTGACTTTCATAACCAATGGTTGGAGACTCTTGGTGACATGACTCAGAATCGATCACAATGGCGTCGGTGTATACACTCTCTATCTTCCCTTAAACTAAGAGATTAAAATTGCTTCATATCTTTCCTTCTACAATATAATTCTTTCTTCTTGTATTATATCCTTATTGCAATCTTTCTTTTAGATATTGCCGCCTCTGAATTAACTACTTTTATAAATCCGGTGTCCATCTTGTTGTGTTAATGAGGTATGGCAACTTGGACAGATGAATAAATGTGCCTGGTCCTACATTGTAGCTGACTGACTGACTGAATACGACCATTAACACTAGTGGATACATATTTGTGTAAGCGATAAGGTTTAGATTTTGACAAAACATGTACACAATTGATCCTTTACGACATTCAGTAATATGATGAAGGTTTTCTGTGTTTGCAAAATACCTCCCTATAGCCAGTTGCTCAGCAGTTTGTGCATTTATGTCCATCGAATGGACAAAAACGAGAGAAACGCCATTCTCTACAGTTCCAACAATTAGTGGGAGGCCCTGTAGAGCGACATGAATCAGAGTCGTGGACACTATATATTCGATTCGGGCGAAGAAAAGTTTGTGAATCATGCTTCGCGATACTAATAGTACCCTCTGAATGCGAACTTTTGATCAAATCAAACAAACTGAGATTTGGATGTCCGATCATTTTAGTATCATTTTCACGATTAATAATATGACGATATTAATTTGCGATATCCTTCAACGTAAGGTTGAGATCTGCTTAAAATTCTAATACCAATAGCTGAGTCTGACGATTATTGCAACACGCATACAAAGATAAAACACTTAAATTGTTCGTCAGATAGTGAACGCAGCCTAAGACTCTCGCAGTACTCATTAACAAATGCTGCATACGAAAAAAATCATCTTCAGGTCTTTTAACTGTTCTCAGACAACTGTATAGGAAATTAAATAAGAAATCTTGATTAGTAAAAATTCGTTAGTTTTTGTATAGTAAAATCAAAGGAAAAATCGTTGGGTTTATTTGGCAAGATAAGGTTTGAATACTTTCCATATTCAGATGATTCAAGCTTACGAAGTAGAATTTCCACCCTCAAAGAGTCATCGTGATAAGAAAGCTCAACTTGGAAAATGTCTTCGTACCTACTGAACTATGATTCACTTATGACACCGTCATCGCAATCAAAACGAAACTTGCTCATTGAGTTGGTCAGTGATTAGGTAGTCGAGCCCCTTAATCCGGACACCTGTACTGAATTTTCTTGAACCGACAAGCTCTGTATCACCATTTCTATCGTTTTCAATTGTGATGCTTAGAATTCTTTTTACTGCTGCTGTAAAATTGGTCAGCGTTGATCTCTTGAAAGCGATATTATAGAATTGGTGTTTTTGCATAGGTTTGTAAAAAATTTAACTTCACCAGAAACTGCTACGATGGGTGATGTCCGAAATCTGACACTGATATATTACGTACTACACGCTAACTCCTCATCTGACCTTTTCATAATTCTACTTACCATATCATAGAGAATAATATGAATTCATTTGACTTTATGGTTTCTCATCAGCTGTTTTCAACCATTGATGTGCAATAAAATAATATTGAGTTATGATATAATGTGGAATTATTGACGATGGTGACGAAAGGAATTAGAATATCAAATATTATCAACAATAGCTATTTAGATATATCTGCACAAGAACAAGTGTGAGGTCATAGAAATGGGAAAACATTAGGAGAAGAGTGGGACATTGATTAAATAAAGTTCAGAAATAGATTAGGATAGATCATGTGATAAATTATAGTTGTGAAAAGTTTACATCAGTTTCAGATAGCGTAAAATAGATATAGAAGATTGAGAGCAATGAAATGAAAGTTGTTCAAAAATTCGAGACTGAAGGATTACACAATAATTATGCGAGATTTGAAGAGTTTACATTGTTTTCGAAGACTAATTGAATGAAAGGATGATTTTGATGTACATATTCCTCTTCACTACTCAAACACTAATAATAATAATAAAATAATAGTAATAACAACTATGATTACTCTTACTTTCCTAAAAATGTTCTAAAAGCTTCCACAATTATGTTTGAATTATTTTTTCTAGTTAGCGCTTTTTAGAGAGTTAGTTTTCTACAGGATGGGGTCGCTAATCCCATGTCCAACTGTTCTCCCTTATCCGGGATTGGAACCGGCAGTAGCCTCAGAGAGGCTCCGGGCGGAACTCAAAACAACTACCAATCATCACCGAAGTCAGAATTTTCAATACAAATATCAAGACAGTTCTACTATATGCAGTGGAAATTTGGAGAACTACGAAAACCATCATCCGGAAGGTACAAGTCTTTGTCAACAGTTGTCTATGCAAAATACTTCGGATCCGTTGGTCAGATATTATCAGAAACAACCTACTGTCGGAGAGAACAAACCACTGTCCAGTAGAGGAAGAAATCAGGAAGAAGCACTGGAAGTGGATGGGATACACATTGAGGAAAGCACCCAACTGCGTAACAAGGCAAGCCCTCACTTGATATCCTCAAGGCCAGAGGAGAAGAAAAAGACTAAGGAACACACTTCGCCGAAAAATGGAGACAGACATGAGATGAATGAACAACAATTGGATAAAACAAGAATGAAAGACTCAGGATAGAGTGGGTTGGAGAATGCTGGTCAGTGGTCTTTGCTCCATTATGGGTAACAGGCATTATCTGTCTTTTTTCAATTAATTAGTCAATCATTCAGTATTATTTTCATAAACAATTGGAAAATTACATTTATGTGTAACATTTTTACTTGATTTATAGTTACCTTAGTATTGCTTAGCTTCTCCATATTAGTGTAGAGACAGGACCAAAAAAATTAATTGAAAGGAAATTTCTTCATATTCCATTCCACTGATCACTTTTTTGAGGATACATAAGATCATCGTAATTAGTGATTGACAACCCTAATTGGCCTGTTTTCATTAAAATTCTTATCCTATACACTTTACTCCTCAGTTTTACACTTTCCTTTTTAAACATTCCTTTCTAACTTACTTTATTATGTTTAGTATTCGTAACGATTACTACTAGTATTGTAACAATGTTTAATTTGGTTTCATTATATTGATTCTCACTTAACTACATTTGTAATGATACTTGGTAATTGGGTTATCTATTGCAAAACATAATGTCATATCATGATATTTAGGTATTCTCACTTAATTTTACTATGTTCAATCAGTTAATATTATTTATATACCAACTCAACTGATATATCAAGTTACAAAAATCAGTTATTTGATAAGTAGTTCCTTAAATAGTCTAATTAACATTGATAATTATGATAAACATCTGTTGACACCAAGCGAATTTGTATTTATAATTATTGACTATTTAGAATAATGTATTATTACATAAGAGTAGAACAAGATAAATATATTTGATTTTAATGGTTTTTGCTGATGATGTCGTTCAGAGGAATGATGAAAGCACCATGATCAAACTATCCAGCTCAGAGAACAAAACTTCATCGAAATCATCCAGTTGAGCTATAAATCTTCTTCACCATCTCAAATATATTTGATTTATATTTAATGAAAGACATATTTAATGAGATTTTTCTTTTTGTTCTCAAACAAAATGACAATAATGATGATGAATAAATAAAATAATTCATTTTTATCACAGACAGAAATAGTTATTCAATGCTCATTGATCATAAAGAAATAAAGAAATATCAAAGAACTATAAAATAAAATAGAATAATTACTTAACTACAATGAAATCAATAGAAATTAAGCTTTACGTGTTTTAAAGTTATGAAATAAGATTAGAAACTTTTGAAGTTTCATAAATTCTCTCTTACTTATTAAAATAAAACTGGTTCTCGTTGAATACCACTGGGTATCATTGGACATGATGACAAATGATTATTTGTATTTGTACTATTATCAACAATTGTAGTATAATCAAGACGTTTACGTATATTATGAATTTCTTCATAAATTTGTAAAGCATTACGTTTCTGTTGAGTATCATAATGTAGTTGAACAATTTGCTGTTCTAAATTATTCAATATACTCCTGGAATATTTCCGGATAGATTGAAATAAATAAAGATTGATTATTCTCAGATGCTAGAAAAGTTTAACATTTTAATTTTAGGAAAAAATTTATTATACGGTACATACTACGCTTGTCCAGGACAGAGTGGGTTGGAGAATGCTGGTCGGCGGCCTATACTCCATTGGGAGTAACAGGCGTAGTAGTTAAGTAAAACATACTACGTTACATTTTATCTCAATTTAAGATCTTGAACACATTCATTTAAGAATATTTTGTTTTACCATATGGTTAAAAGTTCAGTAATTGAGTCATTAATTCGGAAGTTAGTCATTTCACCTGTGAATGAAATTTGCTAAAGTACACGAATCCTCCTCATTCATATACTATATTTCACAATTTTCTTTCTTTACTCGAATACTGACTTGATTTTATAGACATATTTTAACTAATAAACTGAAAAAGTCTGGTGTTATAGTTATTTTGCTGTAGAGCTTATTCATAATCCAAACTTAAACATGTACGAAGAAGTTAAGATATCTTTCATAACTAATATAACACAAGTGAAAAACAACATTGATATATAGTTTTCCAAAGAATTTCTAAATATCTCTACCGTGTAGACAGGAAAATCATGAATTCCGCGCGGCGAGATCTTGGATGCGCACTGCTGAGACGTTCCACACTACGATGAAAGGACCGCCCAGTAGTTCCAGGTTTCCCATGGTGGTCTAGCTTCAATTGAGTTATGAAATCAACTATTAAATTACTATAATATTTACAAAACCCCTTTCTGAGAAATTATGAAATGCCAAAATTTAAAATAAAACGAACATAAACCTATTTAACTCAATAAAATTGCTATAAAAAGTAAATTCTATTGAAATAACTACTTTTCATGCGGGATCAATACAAGATATATGAAAATAACTTGTAATGCTAGTTCCTGAGTGATTATTTATAAATACTTCTTTTTCAGTTCAATCAAACTAACTACACTGAATTTCATTGAAATATGTCCTAAGTTAAAGTTGGTTCAAAGGATTTGTTGGAAGTTTTTCAGTTCCTATATTTAGCATTGCTAATCAATATTTTAGGTGCAAACGATTAGATAACTGTATGGGTCTATACTCACTGTAAACACCTAATAACCTAACGACTGCATTTGTCTGATCAATGTTATCCCTGTGAGGAACTCGTACTTTTGTCTGTATGGTTACTCTCTACTCAATTTCAAAATGAATCAAACTAAGAGAAACTATACCCTCATGTTTTAAAGCAACATAAGATTTTCAATCCCATCAATAAATCTTCCGACTTCAATGAAACGATTCCGAATATATCCTTATTTTCATTCTATAAGCTTTTTGTTATAAGTGTATTTAAACTGATCATAAATGTTAGTTTTCAAAATGCTTATGGTCATGTTTTCCTCTTTTAAAACTTCATATCATGCTACTGGAACTAATCTACAATAAGTAGTATAAAAATGTGAAAAAAAACTAGGCAAGCATAAAAAATGGAAATACCTAGATTTTGTAAGTTTTTCTTCTAACATATCAATACAATTACGTAGGCTTGATAACTCTTCTAGCAGGCTTAATTGTGGATCATCTCGAATATTTTCATTCCCCGATCTATTATGACGTTTCTCCAGTTGTGTTTCGGCTAATTTTAAACTTTCTTTTTTTGCACGTACAGTATCTTCTAAACTTTTTATATCTTTTAAATGTTCATCTCTTTCATTTTCAGTCTACAATGATAAAACATGCTGATGACAAGTGTACGAAAAAAAAGTTTAGAATATAAATTCACCTAGTATTTTTCACTTAAATCTTCCCATTGATCTTTAGGACTGTAATTGAACAATCTCTTATTGGAGTATGTGCATACTGTGCGAATTGTCTCGATATTGCCTTGATTCACAAGTATTCTAAGCAAAGATGGATAGTGGCTAGCAATGGAATCCAGGACGCGCGTTTGATTCTAAGTGGATAACGCGACAAAGTTTGAAGAGAATGGTTCTAGGTTCGAATCACAGAGTGAACATCAACTCTGGGATGTAGTTACATCTAGCTGACGAGTCCAAAATAGGACGAAACATGCGTCCTGGATTCCACTGCTAGTCACTATCCATCTTTGTTTAAAAAGTTTAGAATATAATTTAACAAATAAATAATTTTTCATACCGAAAGTTATTTAAAACATTTTTATGAAAATATTTCATGCATATTATAAAACTGTCTAAACAGTCCCATTAAAGATTTTCGATTCAAGTTCTCAATAATTTTTAAGCATGAGTGTTGTATAACTTTCTGATAAACATTATTACACCTTTAAAATAATTGTTTTAAGTTAAAAAAATTAAAATATTTTAAATGGAAAGTGATTAAATGTAATATCATCGAGTAAATAGTTGTTTGACACAATGATTGACCATTTGTCGTCCATATAATCAAAAATATTGTCACGTAAACGAGTCTAGCTGACAGAATTCTAATAGTTTTTTCTTACATTTGTCCTGTAAATTAGAAATCTAGTAGTTCGGTTTCGTATTACCCTAATATTCAGTGAACCGAATGAAAGCTACCGTTTGAAGTAATCATAGTTTATGTATCTTTTCAACACACTGATAATCAGTAAAATAAGTAATTTTCAGCACTGATAAACTTGTTGCGGCTGAAGAATTCTTTTTCAGAAAGTTATAATTAAGCTACTTATGAAGCTAAACTGAACCGCGTATTGATTTCGAATCCTTAAACCTTGTAATACATGAATTTCTTCAGGTTAGCTTTGTTATAGTTTACCAAGAGCCTCGATTAATTGACTAAGTGATATTATGCAGGCAAAAAGAATCTTGGTTCCTAGATTCAGTCTCGTGGGGGAACGTGTGGTAGGTGTTGTCCATAAATTCCAATATCGTAATAATCAGTTATCCAATGTCCCCACGCTCTTAATAATTCTCCAGCTGATATAAATAATCAATAGGCACCGGTATGTTTATCATAAGAAATTAAAGAGTTAACAAATTTTAAAGCACACCCAAATGAAGATGACTCAAACAATGAATATATGAAAATCATTTCAACTAATAAGATTTATAGCTTACACTTTTAATTTGATATTCGATTTCACGTAATGATCTAAGAGTATCATGTATACGCCTACGTAGTTCATTATCTACTTGACTAGCTTTACTCGCCATCCTGTTGATTGCTTTATGCAGACTATTATGCAATCGATGTAGTAAATCATCAGCCTTTTCAATTACATTTTCAGCATTTCCTAAAGTTTGATAACTTATGTTCTCCCATGTTTGCAAATCTATTGAGCTATGTAAATATAGGGAAAAAGAATAACTGAATGAATGATTGAGAATTATGATGGAACAATTGAATAAATTTAGGGGTAAAATGATAAGTCTTAATTAGTTCACGAGTAATATTCATCATAGATTGATCTTAGTTAGATTACTACTGAAAACTAGGAAGCAATTGACTGCTGTTTCGTCCTAATATGTGACTCCTCGGTAGTGTGTGCTCTCACCTCTCGCAGAGTTAAAACCCGTGACCTTCATGTCTCTAATGGTTTCTAGTAGTTCTTCATTCGGTGTGATGTCTAAAGCCCTGGACCCAACCTCTTGAGGAGTCAATGATGGAGACTTATGAGGAGTTCCAAATTAGGATGAAACAGTTGCTTAATAGTGCTTGCTTCAATGGTACTCATAAAAAATCAATCTGTAACGAATGCAACGTAGAAATTAAACCAATTTCCGCAAAATCCCTTCAACTTAGCGTTAAATTTGTTAGTTGAAAGGTAGTTTACTGTCACAAATTCAAATTTATTAAAACAAAGATACTCTAATATTTTCGATGATAAGTGTATGAACACTTAACGGAATGAACATATACTTCCATATTCATACCATATTGTTCTGTCAATAGACAGAGAGTGATTGCAACCTCAATTTATATGTTATGAACAGCATGAAAAACATTTCTGTTAGTTTTAATTCATGATTATCAAGCGCAATCTTTGAATCCAGAGGCCGTGTTTAAGTTCAAATTGTATAATTAGAGATTTCCTCAAAGAATTGTTCGTGGAAGAGACAAGGGGTTAATGCTGAGAGTAAGTGGAATATATAAAGTTAGTTCAATGAGTGTCAATTGTCATCGATCAAGGTGAATAGGACAAGTTTTATGTAAATTTAATCACCAGATTTTGGAAATCCGATGTTGGTTAATTTAGCTTGGGATTAGTGGAAAGTTAGAAATGATCAAAATCAATTTGATAGATGCAGACTGACTGGTTTAAGTCAGTGCAAGAACCATGGTCAGTGTTTGAAAACCTTAGGTGATTGTGTTCAAAGGCAGTTTCAGTGGAGCTTATCCACTCACTTTCTATATTTCCTTTTACTTCTAATTTTAATATTAATTCATACGTTCCATGCCTTATTGTTCATTCTACTTTACAATCGCTGACACTACCATTATTTCAACCCACATGTCATGGATCTTGTCAATTTCATAAGGCTATATTAATGCCATGCAGAAGCCTAGACCATTGTGTATATGTACAAAGTCCTATAGTTTTGACTGAGTGACTGACTGAATCCCATCAGTACTCTATAGAGTAAAGGACAAAATCTTGAAATACATAGACGTTGAAATCTTTGAAAAAACGTCAAGAAATCTGTTCAGTATTCTAAGCTGTCTCTTATTCAGTCACCATGTAGAAAGGAAAAAGATTTCAGTAAGCTTCGTTTATAAGAAAATTCACGCAAATCTCAATTTTTTAAGAAGACACTTAGTGTCAGAAAATAGTAGCTATCTTCAATATACTCATTATGCTTATTAAGAAAAATAGATTTACATTCTTCTATTTTTCAAATGGAGATTAAGTGAATCGGTCAGTTAAAACGTATGACCAGGCACATATATTCATCGGTCCGAGTTGCCATACCTCATCAGCATAACAGGATGAACACCAAATTCATAGAAGTAGTTACTTCAATGGTAGTACCATATATAAGAAAGATTGTTCATAAAGATGTAGTAAAGGAAGAAATAATTAGTTCATGGAAAGAAAGTATAAAGGAATTTTAATTCCACGGTTCAAGGGAAGATAAAGAGTGCATACATCGACGCCATTGTGATCGATTCTAAGGCATGTCACCCAGAGTCTCCAACCATTGGTTACGATAGTCACGCGGACCCTAACCATGTAGTCTGCATCTACCAACATGGCTAATAATAGAAGTTAGTGACTTCAAGCACTGATGCCACGTTTTGGCTTGGGTGCCCCTAACTTTCTTCCAACCATTCCCTACATTAGTTAGCATTATGCGTCGTGGTAATCGGTGTTCAGGCATACGTAACACGTGGCCCAACCATCTCAGTCGACAAAGATTTACAACCTCATCTACTGATTCACCATCGTTCCCCAATACTCTGCGTCTAACCTCACTATTACTTACCCAGTGATCCCAGCAATTGCACGCCATATTTCCAAGACATCTGTGATCAAATACTACTAACTTACGCATGTCTTCTACTCTTAATGTCTACGTTTCTCAGCCGTAAAATAGAACAGATTGAACTGCTGCTCAGTATACTTGTCCTTTAATTAATAGATGGATATCTTGCCATCTCTATAGGTGACGTAAGTTGGAAGTCGGTGAGATTATATTAATACACCAATAAAGATATGGACGTGATAACATAACCAGAGGATCAAACTGTATCAACTCATCAAACGTTTCGATGAATAAATATCCTGTTTTCAATCAGTGATGGTTATTCACTCACCTTTCTGGTAAACGTTCACAGAACGGTTTTTGACTAATACAAGATGACTTTTCATTCAAATTATAAACATCAATATCGATATGTACAGCTTCGTTTTTATTAAGAATATCCGAATAAAATGGTTTTGCTACATTATTTATTTCAACTAATAAATGAATTGCTTCGTCGATTTGTCGTTGAAGATCTGTTTGTATTTCTTTCAATAGATCACGTTCCTGATAAAATTAAAAATGAATATTTTACTAGTCGAATACAGTGAAAATTTTCAAAGAAATTTTCCCTATTTAATCGTTCAGTTATTCAATACTAAAATGTTATCAATTAATTATATGAATTTTAATTAATGATCAAGTAGAGTGTACAACAGTTCGCACTGTACCGTTTTACTTTTGTGAGACGTGACCAAGTCACTAACTACAATGCCTTTACGTACTTATTAACTTAGGTCTGTTACACCTTGTGGAGGAGCGTAGGCCACCCACCAGAATTCTCCATCCAACTCTGTCCTATGCAATCCTTCCCAGTTCTTTCCAATTACTATTCATCCTTTTGATGCCTGCTTCCAATCCCTGACGTAATGTGTTCTATGGTCTTCCTTTTTTCCTGTTTCCTTCAGGATTACAAGTATGGGCCTGTTTCATGATGCAGTTTGATGATTTCCATGATGTATGTTCTATCCACTCCGAGGGTCTTTTTCTAATTTCCTCTTTGTCAGAAAGCTGATTTGTTCTCTCCCATAGTGGGCTGTTGCTGATGTTATCCAACCGACGGACATTGGGCATTTTGTGTCGACAAGCGTTTATATATACTTGTACTTTTTTAAGTGTAGTGCCCAAATATTACATGAATAACCAGAGATATTTAATACTGTCATGTTATATTGCTCACATTGTTATGTGACATGCAAGAATTGGATATGACAGCTCCGTTTTCATTTCTGGTCTAATGAATGGCAAAACATGTATACCTGAGTTCATTATTTCAATTTCTTACAAGAAAAAAAGTGAAACGTTTTCCTTGATTGTTAATTTCGTCTTTTGTTATTTTCTCTATTCCATACATTGATATCAAGAATTGGTTCTAAATGGATAATCATTATTTGATTAAATTTTACATTAGTTCTGAAACTCTATGTATGCTGCCATACACAAACATAGGAGATCCTTCAACGTCCTACTTTTCAGTTTGATAACTTGTGAAGAATAGTTCAGTTTGCAGGTAATTTTATTTATAGAACTACATCAACCAGAAAACCATTAGGAAATAGGGGGCATTGAGTAATTCCCTCAACTTACATTTGAACTCTTCATTAGTGTCTTCCACACACCTATTCGAACCCAAAATCTTAACGTTAAGTGGAGAGCTGATAGTCTAGGAGACGATTGGTTTACCACTTTTCTGTACTCACACACCATTTAAGATGAAAAATTCTAAACCAGGCACGTTGTCGAAAGAAGTCAGCCAAGCACTTAATCGAGATTGCAGATTACACATTCTTATCTGTGTTAGCGGAGTAATATATATATAAATGATTTGTTTAAATGATTGTTTAGTTTCGACGATTACACCGCAACTTAGTGAGTTAAAGTTTCCTCTTATTATTAGCTGTGTGACTTTCGCTCCGCTGATGGGCACACATTTTTATCACTAAGTTAAATGATTTGTTGTGTTTTACAAAAATATTCAGTATCAACTAAGAGCCTAAAATGCAAGTTCCAATATAAAGTTATGATGGTAAATATTTCAAAGTTGGTGGAGTTTTGTTCTCTGAGCTGGATGGTTTGGTCGTGAAGCTTTCATCGTTCTTCTGAACGACATCATCAGCACAAACTTCAGATAGACTTCTATCTGAAGTTTGTGCTGATGATGTCGTTCAGAAGAACGATGAAAGCTTCACGACCAAACCATCCAGCTCAGAGAACAAAACTCCACCAAAATCATCCACCTGAGCTACAAATCTTCTCCACCATCTCAATTTCAAAGTTGATTTAATCTGGTAATAGATAAATTATAAATGGTCAAATATGAATTCGTCCAATCAGTTATTATGCAATACATAATCAAATAAAATTATTGATTCTATTATTACATTGAGTATTAAAATCATAATGACTGGTTATTTAAATATGAGGGCAATATTGAAACATGATTGTTCACTATAGCTATCATTCTTCTTCATATTTCAGTTTCAATCATCATGACATCAATATCAGTAACAGACATTAGACGTTAGTTAAACTGGATGGTTTGAATTCGATTTCAGTTTCCTCAAAATTACAATTACACATTCCCATACGGATGAATATTAATTAATGAGAAACATATATCTAAGATATTCTGACGATTGCCTCCAACTAACTAGAGGCGAAGGAGCCTAAGATATTGAATGATTTATACTAGTGGTTACATTGCCATTAGATTATTATAATTCGAATGGTACTAAGAATTAGAAGTCATGAAATTAATTACAAATCTCTGACTAATTAATATAAATCTGATAATTAACTTTATTCATGTTCCCTATATACATTGTCTTTTAGCACTTTTTTAAGTATATTTCACATTATTCATATGTTGAAACATTGCTAGGCCAGCCTGTATCTTTACTATTAATCACTACAGTATCCATATTTTGTAAATAACTAATTTTTGAATAATGACAGTTGCTCATTATGTAATTAACCCTTGACTAAACTGCAGATTTTATTAATCAATTGAATAACTGTCATTATAAAGAATTACACCTGATATCTCCTATATTACTTACTTATTACTTTAAGTAACTTGATATTATAGTACAGTTTGTTTGTTGTTCGATGGTTGAAGGGTATATTCAAAAATACATGGGCCTACATTTTATGTTACTAAATATTTGTCATTACAAAGTGTTCATAATCACGTGGTAACTAATCTTCTTTGTGAGATTTGAATCCACGTAACTTGATACACCAGTCAAGGATTATCTTTTCAGTATGAGTGTTAGTCTTAATCCCTTAATGATAAGTTTATTCAGTTGGCTAATAATCCTGTTATCCGAACCTATTCACTTCCTAGATTTCAGAACTAGTTTTGTGAGCAAACTAAAAGTTTGAGTAAATTAATGACTACAATATTTTATATAATAAAATTTATGGCTATTTACACAACAAAGGTTACCTTGTTTAATTCCTTAAAAACAGGATCAATAATATTCTCATCATTTTGTCTATGATCCAAATGTGTTAGAGATTCAATGTTGACATCAAATGAATCATTTAATTTAGTCATAAATTCTTGTGTTTTATATTTAACAGCTTTTAAATGAGTATCTTTTTGCTTGAGTTTATTTAATTGAGTAATTAATTTATCACGCCATTGACGTACAATCCATATACGATCAGATAAACGATTATTTGTTTGGAGTTGATCATATCTATTCAAACAAGACAAATATGATATGACAAGAGAATAAAAATAGATTTATACCAACTGACGATTCAATAGTGGCTACCATAAATATGGTTGATCAAGACTTTTGAATTTCATAGTTTGCATCACAGACTGATCTTAGTTGGACAACCGTTGAACACCGGGATGCATTGGCTCAGTCTTTAGCCACGTTATGAGATTCTTCAACATTTCGTGTACATGATCAAAGTCATGACCATAGGGTCTCTCGGTGAGCGCTCAATCTTTATATTTCTAAACTGCTAAATTCATCCAATTTGCAACTGTAAACCAATGGATGCTAAACAAAAATCATGAACATGAGTCTCTTTATGAATTCATTTAGTTGAACTCTAATGGAATGTATGACTACTTAGCCGAAATTTCTGCACACCTTAATAATTTACACTTAACCATTCAATAATGCTTTACAATAATCTCCTTTTTAAAAAAACTACAAATGGTCACTAATATAGTGTACGACACTTTAAAACAAATATTTACTGAAATTAACAATGATGAGTATGAAAAATCATAAACAATGTCCAATTTGTGATTATTTTTCAGCAATGAGCAATATCAACTCAAGTACTATTATAGACCAGAAAACAAAGAACATTTATTTTATATTCATTCAAAACTCTTCCGTGTACCTTTAAGACGTTCATGGCTGCCAACAATCGTGGCACGTTTTAATGGTTGGATAGGAATTATATGACTCGTATTTTTAAATTTAGTCGATCAACAATATTTTGAGATGGTGAGGAGTATTTATCACTCAAGTTGATGATTTGAATGGAGTTTTGTTCTTTGCGCTGGATGTTTTTATCGTGGAGATTTCATTGTTCTTTTGGTTAATAACATCAGCACAAACTTCAGATAGAAGTGAAATGTTAAGAAAAACAGTGAAAGCTTCACAATCCAATGATTCAGCCTAAAGAACAAGACTCCGCCTAATTCACAATACTGCATGACCGTCATTTAATAATATCACTGGCATTTGTTCTTCTCTGTTATTCACAGCTTTACACTCAAACTTCAGTAATTCGTTTTCGTTTACAAAAACTGTAACTTAAAAAACTATTCACCATCGTTGGTGATATTCTCACTGCATTATGACTGTCAGATGCAGGCCATTGAGGTAAAAGTCAAGTTACGTTGTTAGTATTCGATTACAAATGTTGTTTGAAGCACTGACTCCATCAAATATAACCACTGAGTAACTATTCTAGGGTTAAGGCTTACTGTATCGGTTAAGTTTAATAAAGAAGTTGGGGCTGTAAAACTTTATTCAATAACATGAATTTTTAATCTCTGAATCATGACCGCCCACCTCTCACATCTATATTTCGCAATGATTGGCATACCAGTAAGCTGAAATTTTGTTAACGATAACCATATTGAGACTTCGTCTGAACTGTTTCAATGGTTTCAGACTTCTAGCATAATAACTGTAGCTCATATTCACGAACATTCCATAGTAATAACATACTATAATTTGTTCATTATTTTCCTCTATACCTCGAGCTTTAAAAGTTTTCAAACTTTTTATGCTAGGGTGTTATTTTTTCAAGCTTACTTCTGTGCATTTTAATCTTATTACTCTAATGCCATGATCATTCTGGATTAATTGATAGTTTCATATCATTGTGTTGGTGTAAAGTGCGATAATATAGATTCATGCCTATCCTTCCTCAAGTTCTAATTGTTTATAATCTATTGGTTAAAAAACACTCAATACACTGCAGATTTTACTGAAGCTGATGGTATAAGCTGAGTAAAGAAAAAACCTTTCAATTAACTTCTCATTATAACTAAACAATAATAGAATGTAAAATTCGAGAAAAGATGATGATAGCAAGCACTTTCTCAAACCCAATTTGTCAGACCTGCCTATAACACGGTCAATGTGGGATGAGGAATAAATGTCAGACTATAAATAACTTATCTCTAGGCCGCAGAAAAATGATCATATAAGTGTAACGAAATAACTAAAAAGCACCTAATGGAAAGAATATAAACAGATTTACCAATGGCACTCTAATGTTATGTTCTATGTGTTTTAAACTTTATTACTAGATCAAACGCATTAATTTTAACGTACTTTGTATTTATATCTGTTTCGATGCGTGTAGCTCTAACCAATTGACGATTATCATATGATATATTCCGATAACCTTCAGCCGCCTTTCCTTCAGTGTGGAGATTTTCAAACCAACTAAGATGCGTTCTTTTTGTATCCGGTTTTGTTACAGTTGCCATGTAAAATCTGACGGTTCGATCGTTTACCTAGAAAAACCTAAGACCAAGTTCTACGACTAAAAATTAGTTTGGATCAAAGTTTGAATTGCTTTAATGAAATTAAATTTTATGAAAAAACGGATTCGGAAGTATAGTATAGTTTATTAGATTTACAAAGCCCAAATTATACTGAACGTGGGCGACTGGTCAGGCTAAGTGATTATTAAAGATGAGAAAACCCAACCTGCTAATATATGCAGCAATAAGGGTCAGTTAAACGACCCGGTCATCCCATGCAAAAAAGAATGGCTCAACTTTGACACATAGACCCATTTGGTTAGACATTTGTTTTGTATTTTTGATCCGTTCCGCCAGTTCCTGTGAGAAAACTCTTGGTTTGAAACTTCACCTTGCTATATTTAAAATCTTACGTCGACATCTTAGACGGAGTCCTAAAGAGAAGCTGATTATCATTTTTTAATTCATTAAAGTCTGATCGGTTGGTTAGATAAATGGATAGTCTGAAGCTTTGGAAGGCCATTGGAAAACAGGTACATAAACTCATGATTTTTTCTGAATATGAATTTAATTGTGAAACTATGCATCATAATTTTTATTTTCTTGTCTTATAACTTTTGACAAGCGAAAGAACAATTTACAGGGCAGTTAGATCTTCATTTCTGCGACCATAATGTTCGAACTACCCGATATTAGGTTTGTATACTATTTTCAATTAGTTTCGTACTCAATATTAGTATTTGGTATTTCATTGTTTTATTACTACGATAACACCCTTTGAACATATTTTTGATGAACTGTAGCGGTAAATAAATCCCCAAAATAAATAGCTCTAAGTTTTCGACATTGGATGCTGACCATATGTTTTAGTGGACTCATCTAGCTGAAGGCGCTCGGTCATGCATCCGCTCCAGATCACGTGTGGTAACGCCGTGCTCAACAACAACCGCAATCGCTAGCCAGATTAGATCAGAGAATTCCGATATTTTGATTATCACCAAATAACTCTTCCGATCTCCTCGACTCTGTCTTTTGATTTCTCTCGGTGGGTACAAATCATATTGGAAGGTGTTACTGGTAGAAGCGTTATCAAACACTGAATACCTGTGACATCATCAAAACAGTTCGTTTGGTACCTACTTCCCAATTTCCAAAGTTTGGAGAAATTTTGGAGTATTTTGAGGAAATCCCGAAAGTCAAAAGACCTTCACCAAGGTTTAGGGGAAGGTTTGGGGAAATATTGAGGTTTTGGTTTCATTCCCCCGAAATTTTCCTGAAATGAGTCAAATATTCCCCGAAATTGAGAGGTTGGGTTGGCTGAGTATAAAGACTGAATAAAGTCGATTTAATGATCTCAAACAAAGTTTAGGCGTAAGACCTATTTAAAGGTGCGAGACATGTTTAATCTGTTCCTTGGCGTATTTATTAAATTTGAAGATACTGATAAAATTATTCCAGTACGTACAGTAAACAAATACAAGGCTGTATGCTTATTTCATGACGAATATTAGCTTCCTATCATTGACGTCATGTAAACGTTGTAAAGTTACGCTGCAATAATTTTATTTTTAAAGTGCTCAACTTACAACAATGTTGAATAACCGCTGCAGTTGCTACGATACAAACGTCATTTCGAACAAAATGTTCAGCCTCAAGGATAAGATTTTTGACTTCAATATGTCTGCAAGCAAATGAAATAAGTAACGGCATTGAAAGTAGTGTATTCATTTATCGTTTCCCGTTAACACTACGGTCTAGTTGTCATGACCATGAGCGTTGCCGTTAAAGCGCGTCTTTCCTGAATGTACTCATGTACAACAATTACTGTCAGTTTGGTCGACAATGAGTTCATGAAAAAATCGGCATTCTGCGTGAAAAGAGCTTTTTTGAATGACAATTCATATGTATTACTGGTATCATCAGTTTGAATTTTAGACCAGAGTGGGAGACCGTATCGAAGGCCTGACTTAGATCTATGAAGATCACATCCACAGGGATATTCCGATCTCTTAAAATGGGAAGATTTGTCAAGCGTGATAGGCCTCTTCGAAAACCACGTTATTCACTGGGGAAAAGATTATGGCCTTCAACATAGTTTATGATAGACATCCGAATGATTTTTTCCATCAGTTTTACAACTGCACTGGTTAAGCTACCGGACCTGTAGTTGCTAACTAAATCCCTACTCCCGACTTTATACACCGAACTTATTATAGCGTCTTTCCAGCCTCTGGGCAGTCTGGACTGCCATAGAGACACGTCAGGCAGTATCGCTAATGGTTCAACAATTTCATCTGATATGGCTTTCATAATCCTAGGATGAATAACATCTTATCGTTACTATCTTATTGCCTTATCTCTTACTTCCGTCTAGGACTGATCATTTGCGAGTACATCCGAAGAAAGTCCAAAAATCGGGATCAAATCGTCTACGTCTGGGGTTTCGTTTTTCTCACCGAGTAGTGAATTACTGGAATTAGTTAGGGAATTTAATTAGATCGGTTCGAATCAACGTTCCACTCACTGGCGATTGTCCATTTATCCTGGTTCAAATGGAGGTGGTGTGTGCATAATAAATGATGGATAGACTTTCTGTTAACTAGAGTTTTTGAAGATAAATTCTTTAAAGGTACATCATAGTATCAGGGCAGGTTTCCTGTCTGTTTTGTCAAACTCCTGCCCACAGTCAGGAAAGTTGGTGTATAGTGGCGAGTTTCATTCAACTGATCAATAATAACCATAATAGCTCATTCTCAAACAACAATATGTTATATGAAGCACGCCAGTTTACAGTCAAGATTAAATTTTTATAAATGTTACGGGGTATATGGTAATTTATTATTAAGCTAGGTTGATATTTTGTAAGACACTCTGGTGACAGAAACAGGGAGACCAATCTTCTTACATTAGTAAATGAATAATGTTGGTGAAATTAGTAAGTTCAATGTGGAAGCTGACTCACTTTATGGACGTTTTGCTGCAATAAGCAGCTGGTGGTCGAAAATGAATGCAGGTAAAGTCCAAAGCTCTTTCTAACAAGAAATAACGCGTTTAGTGCGAAATCGGTCAACTGAAAACGGAAACATTAACGTATTACTCCGTGCCTCTTGATAGTGTACACAGGCAATACATTTACCAGGCTCATATTAAGCACAATTGAATCACCGGAGGTATTAATGAAAGCTCAGGATGAAGTCATGTGTTCCTTAAATGTTTTTTGGAAGTATATCGGATATGCTGAGAAAAAGATTAGAAAACAAAAGGCGAGAACAAAACAGGGTATGGTTATTATCGACAAAGTCGGCTGATTTGTGATGGAAATGTGGTGGCATGAATACTTGGACTTATTTACATTTACTAGGTTCATTTTTACGCACGCGCATTTCGCTTTCTTGAAGAAGGCAGATCAGAAGTATGGTGGCGAATGGGTAAGGGACCATGTGAATGGAAGGGATTCAAAACAGCTCAAAGTTTAAGAATATGTATATTTCAATTACGTAGTAAGAGGGTGAACTTATCCGCAACGCAACCATGTAAACTTAATGTATCGCCCAGGGTCATCTGTGCGTGCAAGTAACCACAGATTTTGTCATTTCATAATGTATTTTTAATTAAATGACTAGATTATGTAGTTATTTTGCTCTGTTTTTAATTTTTATTCGTCATGTCCGACTGCGTTACACTGTACGTCCATTGCACGCTGGGATGATATCTCAAATCATAGTGAGTTTATTCACATAGTTGATTGTTTTCAGATAGACTCTCAGTGCATGATTTTACTGAAGAAAGGTTTGTTGTACTGTAAACTGTGTTTCTATGAACAACTCCCTGTTGTCTTCAGTATGAAAGCAATATATATGTATCCTTCTTTTTTTTTAGGTAAGTTCAACTGGCCTATATCTTGTGCTTTGGTTTTATCGGCTTAATTATGTCCATTTAACTTCTTTGAGCAGCATGTCTTTGCAAGTGAAACAATAACTATGACAATTGCTTGGTTTAGTGTTCGTGGTTGTCGTATAATTCAGTTTAGTTGAAAGAATTATGATATACTTAAGTATAGTTTTTGAAGCCTGTAACGAAACAGATCAGTTTAGTAAGTAGAGCTGCATGTTTCTAATGTGTATACGGATTCAGATCAGTCTGATTAAAAATAGGAAAAAACGTGCCTTTGATGCTGTTGCTGTCATACATTATAAGATAGCGATAAGTATACTTATCGCTATATATATATATATGTTTGGTATTTATTTCTAAACTGTACATCTGTCACTGACAATATTTCATGATAACTGTCACTAAACAATTTCCCCAGCAATAACATCGGTAGCAAGATAGCTAAGTGTCTGAGCTTTTAGTTGCCCGCAAAACAGCAGTATACAGTCTTAGAACATGAGTGTTCTGTGTCTCAATTAAATGCAGCTGGCTGTGGACAAATGTTAAGAATCTTTTTGACAACTGGGACTTTTAGTTTATCAGACACTTACTCTGCTTGTATGTTTTCCTGTTAAACTAGACACAGATGCATGGGAATACTTAAATGGGAGCAAAATAATAACAGCATTGCAATGCAGTACTAAGCCCATGTTATGCTTTGCGCAAATAATAGTAGCTGACCTTATCTAATATTCATGAACTCAAGGTAAATCACAACTGCATAAATTCTTTGCTAAAAAACATGTAATTTGTTTATTTATCTACTTCACATTTCTGACTAAATTCAACATTATTTTTTTCATTTAGAATGCAACAGGAGTGAGCCTTCACAGACTCTAAAAACTGTTTCGCCCTTGGAACTATGGCCCTATGGAACTGTTTACGGGAGACCCAACGAACAGCAGATAATAAAAAGAATACTTGACGTCCATTTTAGTTTCACAACCACTTCCAGTATTTTTTTTGACTTCTTTTACTCTTTCGTTTGGAAAAGAACAACAAAAACTGCAGCTTAACATTACCAATACAACTTTTAAACGGGAACTTGGTTTAAACCTTTGTTTGATATT